AACTGAACCCAGGATGAAAATTTCTTCTGATCGTGAGTTTATATTACCATGCATTTCTTGCATTGTATTTGTTTCCGCCAATTACGAACGAAGATTTCGTGCACTTGTTGCAAGTTTCCTGTATTTTACAATGTCTGTCGCGTGGTCGTTTCACACGGTACCCAAACGTCTCACACTCAAGTTTATTAAACGTACGATACAAATAATACCAGGTCTATCACTCATTCATGTGCAGTCTTTGTTTATTAGACAGGATAAGGAACACCAACGGGAAACACAACATACAGAAATAAACTAACAGTAAATCTATGTCAATCACCTTTGTTTATTTTGGAATACTGGCACAGGAAAACAACACACACTCAATGTCTCAGAAAAGCAGGGCGGCTTCAATTAGAGTATTTTCAAGGAACCAAATGTTTCTAATTTTGAAATGATACATTGTATCAAAGTAGGGGTGCGGCTTCAAATAGACATGCGGCCTCAATTAGATATTTTACGGTAGGTTTTATTTCCACTAATTCACCCCTTCATCGCATAAATATCCTATTATGGTTAAGAGAAATTACAAATAAAACATAGAAAAAAAGGAGAACTATAGTAGATTGTTTTTAATGAAAAAGCTGTAATGAGTAACATTCTGACCAATAATTTTGCAATCTATCAACTAGCTCAATAGTCAGTCTAGGTCAGCTGAATTTTTAGTTCAATCAATCATTGCATTGTACATTCCTTCTTTAACACAGCAACAAGTTTAATAAGTTACTGAATCCTGCATTTGTCACTGACTTATAAGTCTATTTCCATTGCACTATTGTTCCTTCAGCTTTATGTATTGGACGGACTGGGGTGGCAATCCCAAGATTGAAAGGGCCAATATGGATGGCAGTAACCGAAAGCTGATTGTGACAGACGTGGGTCGCACTAATGGGCTGACAATTGATTACAGTGATCGCAGAATGTACTGGACTGATCTTGATATGAACCAAATTGAATCAGCAGATTTGATGGGTAATTTTTTTTTCTCTTTCCTTCTGTCTTTTCAAAACTAGATAGCATTTTATATACATTTTACAAGTTTGA